AAATTACTAAGAATTGCTTCTGTTTCATTTGAAAAATCACGTTACAAAATTTAATTCAAACACGCACTTAATAAGACTTGTCTGAATTTCAAACACTAGCAATTAATTGGACTTTACGAGTATCATATTCACAAGTCTTTGTCAGATGGACGTGAATCTCACAACAAATCTGCTTCCCACATTTTATGAAGATTTGAGTGTTATGTATAATATTTGAAAGTCTTATGTAATTCTTTTTCACGATATCAATTCTTATAAAGATGAAATAGTATTTTTACTGGTAACTCCATTTTCAAGACAATAATCAAAATTAAACTTTCGATTAAAGAAAATAAGTGTTGAATCAAATCACTCAATCTAACAATTTTTTATTATATAAATGATCTAAATACAAACAAATTTAGTTTAACTGACTGTCATGGTTTTATTTTAGAAGTCCGCAAGAGATTGTTTTTTTTTTTTTTTCTTTTCTGTTTTTCATATTCTTTGAAGATAATCTTAATTGGATACCAAATACAAGCACTTGTCAGTTGTCACCAGCAAAAATTCAACCTTGGACAATTTATTTGTGGTTATAGAATGAACTTAAATTTTGTCGTTTTCATAGAAAAAAGAATTAGTAAGCAGATAGCACCCTTATTAATTCTACCAAGGCTAAAGCCTGTTTACCCAAAATATAATTATAAGCGAAGGGGTTCATGCCTTCATGGTGTATACACTTTTTTTTTTAATAAATACATCTTCTTTATTTTTTCTTTTTCAATTTTTATATACATTTTTTTTATAATGTTCATATCACTTTTGTCTTTGTCTGACTTTTCACTTATAAATAAATAATTTTAATTCTTTCGATTTTTACATTACTCTCTCTTTTTTTTTATTTTTTTCACTTTTTCATATATATCCAAACTGTAGAACCGGTGCGATAAAAGAATAAATACGTGCGACTTCTTTGATAGTTTCTATTGATATAGACACACATTTTTTTTAATATTTCATCTCCTTTCACAATTCTAAAACTTTAACATTAAATTTAGTGTTATAAAAAAATATTATTAGAACACTAATTTCACTATTTTGGAGTATTTTTTAGGATAGTGAAATTATTATTCCAGAAATATTTTTCGAAATTGTATTTTTAAATACTTCCGAAAAGTACTTCTCAAAATAATAAATTTAGTGTTTCGAAAAGTACTTTTTAAAATAATGTAAAATAGCACTTTTGAAAAATACTTTTTAGAACGTTAAATTTACTGTTTTGGAACGAAAATATGTAAAATAATATACTTTCAATATATATATATATATATATATATATATTATATATATATATAAAAGGAGAAATCCGTTTATTCTATGAATAAGTCTACCTAGACTTACTCCATTTCAATAACTTATGTTCTACATCAAATTTCAACGACCTAGCTGTTTAATTTAAAACTCTTAAAGAATAGATCAAATATGAAAATTTTAAGAAAATTTGAAAATCATTTAATACTTTATTTCATTAATTCAAATTGACCGATAATTATAAATTATTTCATACATTGATTTGAATTAATGAAATGAAGTATTAAGTGATTTTCAAATTTTTTAAATATATTAAGAACTTTAAATTCAACGGTTGAAATTTGATGTAAAATATGAGTTATTGAATAAAATAAATCTAGATAGACTTACTCATAGAATAAATCTTTCATATATATATATATATATATAAGCCAAGCAAAGGACCTAGAGTGAGTGGGCCACGGACCACCTGGTATTTATTCTTTTGGGCCTAATTTTGCATGCAAACCCAAGCCAGTTTATACTAGTAATAAAAACAATATCTTTATTTTTTAATTATTTTATTCCTTATTACTTCTTTAAATTTTTTATTTCTTTTTATATATATATATATTTTTTAGATTTAAAAAAAATAGAGAGGGACGGAGAGATTCTTTCCTTGACAAGTACTAGTAACAAAATAAGAGGTTATTAAAGTGTTTTTTTTATTTATATATTTTTTGAAGAATAGTTGTACTCTTTGGAGTGACCTTGTTAATCGGAAGAAACATTGAGCATTGAATGAAGAAAGTGGAGCAGCAATGTGAGGTGAGCAGTGAAATTGTAGTGATTTGAATGAAACAAGACATGAACATCCCAACATGACTCATGAGGATGAGGCACCATATAAGTAATAAGATTCTTTATTTTTATTTTTCTACAACTTTTCAAATTTCAACTGATAATATTGGACATTGTCCTTCCAGATAATCAAACGTACCAAGTTTGACAATGACACAGAAACAGCTACCAACTAGAATTAATAAAATCTGCTGACTGAATGGGTAAAGCTCAGTGAAATAATAACACCTACGAACCTAGCATTATAGTTATAGCCCAACAAAACATCTCCATTCAGCTAATAATTCTCAAACTAATGAAACCAAATTAATATAGAAAAATGCTTACATATACAAAATAAAAGGTGAGTCACAAAGTCTTCAAATTTTTTTGTCACTTTACTAATGTGTTAATTACCTCTTGTCTTTCATCAGGTCAAAAATAGATGTGTTCTTGAATCAATCTAACTTTATGTAAACTATAACAAAAATAACTGAAAAATTAAAAACTAAAACATATAAAAACATTATTTTAAAGAGAACAATTTATACAGCATCAAAGTTTTTACTTTTTTCGATCAAATTTGTTATGCATGATATTTATGTTTATTAACTTTTAAAAGAACTATTTTCAAATAATACCTCTTTTTTTTTATTTTTATTGAATGACGGTATCAATATAAAAATTATTTTTTTATTAGAACTGATTAGGATTTTAATTCAATTCTAAAAATCGATCCAGCTGTGTTACGGTAATTCCTTAAATTAAAAGTATACACTAGTTTTTAACTATCATGTTTTTAATAGTTAACTTGAAAGAAAATAAAAAAACCATCTCGGATCCAGCTACACTAAAATAAAGAGATGCACTTATGATACTATTTTAAATAAGTTTTTGTAAATTTATTAAGAATTTCAATGTTAAATTGATCGGATTAAATTGATATTAGAATCGAATCGATAAATTTGTCTCCTTAAAATCAATTGAAAATATCTAGAGTAATTGTTGTAAATTCTTTGATTCTTAATAACTAAAATTTTGTTAAGAGGAAGCACTAGTTAATGGAGTAAAATAGAGATTATCACCAGCCATGTGCCTGAAATTAGTGTTTTGAAGAGGTTCACATGAATAACTAATCCAAATCCTCTCCTTTGGTAAAATAATGACATTACAGAATGGGGGAAAAATTCTATAATTCTTAATGTAACTAATAAATCCCATTGCTACTAAGGTGATCCCTATATAATAAAACAATAATATATATTGAAGGGTATATCTATACAAACGTGGCTCTCGTCCCTTGCAGTAAACAACAAATGAAATTCATGTAAAAGCTTAGAGTTTAGGAAGCAGTGTTGCTCACCAAGTAAAAGGTAAACACATTTCATTTAATAAATTTCATCTAATGACGAAATCATTAAATTTTATAATATGATATAATAAAAAATCTGATCATATGCCTTAATTTTGTATATAGTTTGGAATACCTTTGTACTTCCTTCCTTTAATATTATATTTTTTTTATCAAAAAAATAAAAAAAAATAAGATCATATATAATAATTTATAAATTTATAAAATTTGATTAGACATATAAATAAATATTTAATTAATTTTACGGAGACAAATTTATCGATTCGATAAATAAATTGATCAAATGTTAAATTATCGATTCGATATAGAAATTTCCTTAAAATCAAGTAAAAGGTAAACATATTTCATTTAATAAATAATCATATCAGATATAATAATTTATAAATTTATAAATAAATAAAAATCTGAAAATCATTTCAGATATCGACGAGTTCTAATTAAATTCCTAAAAAAATATGTTAAGAAATATATTATTATCAAGAAAAAATTCCACCACTCGTCGGAACTATAACCAAAATAATCCAATCCCAAACCAAATTAGACCTATTTGTTAAATAAATAGGGTCAATACTTCTTTAAAAATTATTTAGTTACAAAAGTCAAACTTCAAGGTCATTTGAAAAAAAATTTAAAATGTAATAAACTGACTTATTTAAATAAATATAAATAATGCAAGGATGATAATATAATTATGTAATTATATTAAATTTATACAATACTTTAAAATTACATATTTTTAATTTATCAAAAACTTAAACTTGCGTGTCAATGTGCAATAGTGTTTGTTTTTTTTGTAATGACTATGTGCATTAGTGTTTTTCTTTTCCAAATGATAAATTGAAATCAAAACATATGATCTCATAATCGTACAACTCTAATAACAATTGTGAATTTTTAAATTTTAATTTGTGAAAGCAATACTTACGTATATAAATTAGTGGAAACAATACTCAAAATATAACTTATATTTTTAACTATACTTCAAATTATAGAAAAAATCGTATACATTATATCAAGAAAAAAAATAAAATTTCATAATTACCTCTAAATCCACTAATGTAGATCCATACCTACTACTTCCCTATTAGGTCAATCCTAGCAGCTCTAGGACAGTTCATTACGTAATCTTATTTAATAAATTTTTCTATATAACAAATTTTAAAAATAATATATTTAATGAAATCAAATTTTAAAAAGATTGAATCAAATTTTAAAGATCTAATAATCCGATGAAGCAAATAAATACCGAATACGTTTTTTTTTTTTTTTTTACCGAAAACACCAAATACTTGGTGACTGATTATTTTAAATTTTAATGAATTTAATTTTAGATTATTAATCATAATTAAAATATGCATTCAAACTAATTTTAACGGTAAATCCTGCAATGAAAAGCGAATCACAAAGTTTTAAATTAATTTCAGTTGTAGATGAAAGGAAGAGTTCGGTGTAGATAAGATAATCCATTTGGTGGAAGAAAACAATTATGATACTAGCACAGACACAGTCCATAAGTGAGTAGGCGTAAATTTAGGCATCGGAAAAGAAAAACGTGCCTAACTGCGAACCATTAAACCCAACTTGATATTATCCCAAACAGCCACTCACCACTCATCTGTGAAGTCCATATCCAACATTAATACATTATAAGCAAAGAACAGAACAGAGAGTACTTTGTTATTTTCAGTTACATCAACTACAAACATAAACGGCCAAATAAACAAGAATCTAAAGTCATAACCAAACAAGAAGAAACAGGACAGGACCTTTCCCGGGTCTGTACAACAGGAACAGAAGGATCAAATTCATTCACTTAGTTAAAACTTGCCTTCTCTAATCCATCGCCCTTTCCTTCAACCCCTTTCTCTTTCTCTTTCTCCCACCAAAAAGACAGGAAACTAGAGATGAATATATTTAATTAATCTGTGAATCCAAGGTACTCAACAATCAGGCAACACTAATGATGCTATCTCCATTGTTGAAACACGGTATGGCATGTAAAGCTGAATGTCTTGACGATGTCTGCCTCTGGTCAGATGAGAAGGAGAGCCCAAGGGACAGTGTCGGTGGCTCAACCACTGAACTAGAACTGGGAGACACTGTGCAACCCTTAGGATCTGCAACATTCTGTTCCACGTTTCCATGTCCCAGAGTCAGTTCTTCCATTCGATTCCCACCTTGGACTCCAGAGTTTAGCCCTAACTGATATTCTTGCATCATTGGAAATTGAAATCCATTAGTTTCAGGCACTGCATGACACAGCGCGTCTTGATTCTGGACCTGTTCTTCCTCCATGGGGTTTGCAGAAACCTGGCACAAAAATTGACAAGGTCATGAAAATTTTGTCAACTCTTCCAATTATAGAATACAGGGAACCAAATCACCAAATCTATTTTACACACTAATTTTTTCACAACGAGAAACACGTGACAGCAGAAGCTTCATTTGCTTCATTTTTGTCAAATCCCTAATATGGTAAGAGTAACAGTATTCATTATTCAAGGCTTGAATATTGACCAGAACTTGCTGAGAAGCGAGAAACAATCCATGACATATTGCAAGACCGTAACGCCCTATGATTAGGAATATAACTAATCCAACACGAATTAAGATCAAACGCATCTCAATATTCTCTAAATGGAAACTGTTCTTTTGAGAAATTAATTTAGAGAGAATATTTAAAATAAAGTAACAGCATGAAAGGAATATGACGATGGAATTGATTAATTAATTACCGAGTCGGTGGTGATGTCGAAGAGGCTGGATCTACGGCGACGGCGATTGAGGTTGCTTCGGCGGAGAAAGTACTTCTGCGCGTGGCTTGCAACCTGCGTCGGAGTTCGTGTTTTGACATAGTTTTTGGAGATTCCCCTCCAATCACCTTTCCCTCCCTTCTGCAATCCCCCCAGAAACAGCTTGTGCTCTTCCTCCGTCCACGGAACACCTAATAATCGATCATCGCGTTTCACAGTTTCAATCAATCGATTAAACACGAGAAAACAATAATATCAAAAACAAAATACGATAACCGATCGGAGAGACGGATCGAACCTCGCTTCCGCTCGCGCTCGCGATGCCGGCCGGAGTTTTGAGGAACGGCGTCGTCGGCGGAGGCGTAACCGGCGGCGAGAGCGTCCTTGTTGCTGTTGTTGTTGTAGTTGGCGTCTTGAGGATGTTCGTACTGTGAGAAGTTGTTCATGCTGGCGCTCTTCCTCATGGAATCGACGACGAGCCTGACGCCGAACAGCATGATCTCGCCGGAGGCGGCGGAGTCTGCGGCAGCGCATGCGCGAGACATGGTGAGATCGGGCGGTGGTTGTGGCGGAGCGTGACTCGGAGAGAGGGAGAGAGAAAACGAAGGAGAGGCAAGGAAGAGAAGAAGATGAGTGCGTGGTGTTTAATATAACTCACTCTCCCACGCCAATGAGGTGGCAACCATGTGGACAATAATTTTTTCCCAAAATTTTAATTACACTATTATTCGCTATTCATCCATAAATTACGACTTTCATTATTATGCATCATCCATTTATTAATTCCAAATCATTTTATCTATAAATTTTTTAATTGTTATTTTAACACTTAATTACCTTATCGTATATTGCCACATAAGATTGACTCATCGAAATATTATTGCTGTTTTTAAATTTAATTTATAAATTATTTTATGTAATAATACTACACTCTTGTCTTTTCTATTCATTATTTTTAAAATTAAATACTCAAAGTGAATATGATAATGCAAAAATAACCTTAATAATAATAATAATGTATTAAAATTAAACTGTCTAAATGTAATGTTGGATCATCCAATTTACTGTGAATGAGTTGTTGATATTACCTGACAAAATTAAGTAAAGAGGAATAATTGTAGTAATCTAATTTCGTTCACAAAAACACTAAAAAGGGAAAAAAAATAATTAAAAGGGTTAAAAAAAGAATATAAAATATAATAAAAATGAAAATATAATTAGTAAAATGTGTGTACACTCTTGTGAATAATTTAAAAAAAAAATAATAAAAAATAAAAAATGGTTTGAAATTTTTATATTCAACAGTTCACAATGTCAACGTTTTTACTATAATTATGTATTTAAGATGTTTTTTTATATTGTTGTAAATTTTGACAATAAAATTGATAATTGTTATTTTTAATATAATTTATCATTATTTTAATGAAAATCAATCTTAAAGTAGGTGGTTTGTTAAAATATGATAAAGTCTCTCTTTATTTTTTTCTCGATCAAAAGTCTCACTTTTCTATAATAATAGCATGCACCTCCTCCTCCTCTTATATAAAGAAGAGACTTTAAGCCTTGAACATACATAACAAAATTTTCAACAGTTGGGTATCTAAATTGGGACTAATGGAAACATATATATATCTATAGTAAAAGAATTTAAGAGCTTAATGAAAAATATTAAGCTTATTAATTTTTTTTCTTTTGAGTCTGGAAAATATTATGCCTATAATTTAATTATTTTCTTCTTTTAAGTTTTTTATTAGAGAAGCATAAATTATCATGTAGATGAAAATGTTCTGCAAAAGAAGCATATGAGATGTCATAACAAATAATCTCAAATGTGTGGTTCAGTAGTAGGGGTTGATCCACGCTTAAGCAAGGTCAGGGGTTCGAATCCTGCCTTGTGTATGCAGCCGCGTGGGACCAGCTATCCCACCCTTTGAGGTGCCTCCAACCTGTCTTGTGTATGCAGCTACGTGGGGCCAGCTATCTTACCTTTTGAGGTGCCTCCAACCTAGTGAGGAGATTAGTCACTGTTATCGGTGGTGGATATTCCATGGACGAACCAACAAAAAAAAAAAGATGTCATAACAAATTGTCCTATCGAGGTTAGTGTCTTTTATCCTATTTTTTTTATAAATACATTATTAATTTAATTTAATTTAATATTTATTTTTTTAGAAAAGTTTTATTTAATATTTAATTTTTCTTTTTATTGTAAATTCGTAAGAATGTTATTAAATTGAAAAAGAGAGTTAAATAAATATGAAATCTTTTAACTTTTTAAAATTTTGAAATATAAATTGTGATTGTTTGATATTGAATTTATCCTTTGATTAATTTTTATAATCCTTCTATAATAATAAATAATAATTACAATATTCAAATAGATTGACTTGGACAGTATATTTCTAACAATTTTACAATTTATAGTGCATGAACTATGACGATTCATAAATTCTAAAGATCTAACAAATATATAAATTATCCATAAAAAGAAGAAAATCAGGGCCAAGTTGAAGGAGTGGTTGCGATCAGTTGATAAACCCTATTTTATAATTTTACTTGCTTGATCGACATTAAGATATACAATCCATTTTGGGATTAATGTACATAAGTTCATATAACTAGTTTATATTAGTACGAGTATTTAACTTTTATAGTTATATTATATATGTTCACATATACTTAGTTTTTCTATAAAATTGATATATCTTTATTTATCTAATTTTCACTACTACTAACAGAAGTGATCCCACATAATGTAACGATTATGATAGGTTATTATAATTGTTATAGGTGACATTTAATAATATAATATATATAAATATAAGAATATATGCAGGAATTATTTATTTATATTTATTTTATTATTGAACCTTGTTTATATATTTTTAAAATAAATTATTTTTACATATCAGGTAACTTAATAGTTCATAAGTTTTTTTTTTTTTTAAATTTTTAACTGTTAATGTTTATTAAATTAAATGTAGGACTAAAATTATGAATTAGACAAAAACGTATAACAAAAAATAATTTAGCCAACATATTAATTTACAACCTAATAATAAAAGCCCAACTACTACGCTGAAAAACAATAAACAGAAACACTACTATCTCGTAGGCCTGAGCACGGGTCAGGTTCGGACGGGTTCGGGTAAAAAATATTTAACCCAATCCACAAAAAAAGGGTAACCTAGGCAAAAGTAAGGATCAAAAGAAAAATGTCTGCTAGGGAACACATCTCAAGTGACCTAGGCAAAAGTTAGGACGTTGAAGAAGCAACCTAAGTTGAAAACTAAAAGGTGGCTCAGGGGGGATCATTCAATCAAAGCACGACCCCATGTCATCACTCAATTTCTAAAGAAAAGAAAAGGATAATGATGGAGTAGTTCCTTCCATGGATGATGATAGTGGTTGAAAGGAGACTCCTTACCCTTGATCTAGGTTCACCAAGGGGTAGACAAAGGAAGGTTTTTGTGGGACAAAAGGGAGATGGGCGTGAAAGGAGGCGTTGGGCGGAAGTGTTTGGTGAAATGGTGTTTGGTGCTCACAAGGTTGGCTCACTCCAAGTGTAGGTGGAGGCCACTCTAGGGTTTCACTCTCCAAGGGTGGAGAATGAAGGGGGCTAGCCGAAACTAACCTAGGGACTAAGGATAGATTTTGAGGCACAAAAGGCTCACTCAATATCATATAATCCAAAGTATTTACA